AGCCTGTACCCAATACTGGAAAAGGTCCACTGTGAACACAGGAGATCGTAACACAGAGAGAGCGGGCGGAAACGGAGGACACCTACGTAGAACGCGCAGTCCAGCACGGCCCCGGTGTGCTGGTACTTGAGCCGCAGGGAGTTGGCCGGCACATCGTAGAGGCGCACCGACGTGTCCCAGGAGGAGACCAGCAGGAACTGGGAGGTGTTGGGGCTGAACTTCACCGAGGAGATGCCGTCCTCGGGTGGCTGGTTCAGCTTGAACTCGTTAGAACCGGTCATCTACGGAACAAGCGCCCAGTCAGAGTCCCCAAGGGTCCGGGGGCTGGGCTGGCTGATGGCCCGGCAGCAGGGGGACTGCACCCCAGAGGGACCCAGGGGACGTCGGCGACGGGGCCTCTGCGCCTGCGCACAGCCCGCGCGCACGCCACAGTCGGGACTCTCCCCAACCCCCGCCCCTCCTATGCGCCCCAACCGGCCGGGCCGGCGCCCCGAACCCCAGCCCCTAAGCTGACCCGCCGCACCCCGACCCGCCGCGGGCTCCTGCACCCCGGCCCTCCCCGGGGCCTGCAGCCCCGACACTCCGATAATAAAGGAAAAGCGATGGAAGCGAAGCGGGTTCCCTGCGGACAGCTCCGCCAGCTCTGGGCCCGGGGAGCCCCGGAGAGTGCGCCTCTGCGCCCCGATGCCTCTCCCCGCTACCTTGGGATCCCCTCAGAAGCAACCTCGCCGCCACTCGCCACCGCCGCCGCCTCCTTGCTTCCCTCAGAGCGCTCGCAGGCTGCGCGAAGAAGGCGGAGAGGAAACTCCAGCGTACGCCTGCCATTGGCTAATTTCAAACGCCAACGTCTCACTCAAGGCAGACGATTGGTCCGCTCGGAGGCCGGGCGTCGGTCAACCCAGTCATCCTGTTCCGGCTCAAAGGCAATCCGCGGCTTTTCCGATCACGTGGTCTCCTTTCACGCCCAGGCTGAGAAACCCGCGCTCGTGCTGGACGAGTGAAAACTACAGCTCCCAAGGAGCATCGCGCCAAGGCTGCGCTCACGCCCTCCGCCAGCCTTGTGCGGCGCTCTGGGAGATGTAGTCTCCCTGGAGCCGACGCCCTGCTGGTCCTCTGAATAGTAGGCGGGAAGATGCTCTTTCCAGTTCGACCCATGGCTCCCTCCTCATCTCAGTTAATCTCTTAGACCCAAGAACCCAGTTTTGGTCAATACTTCCATGGAGCTAAATTATTCTCCCTTTCACTGGACGTGCATAAGCCCATGAAGTTAACCAAAAATTGGAATGGAGAACGAAATATTTGCTCTAATCAATTGCATTCTTTTTTGCCCTGTTTCTCATTTTCCTAGAGTTTCCACCGATGAGCCAGGGTCGCATATTTCCCGTTGTTTTAAGATCTATTGATCTCATAGAAACTCATCCTTATTTATATACTATGCTTTATCTCTCCATTCCATCTTTTTACAAATATTTGTTGAGCGTTGTGTGCCAGGCCTGGTGAGAGACTCTGGGCAGATGCATTAGTCAGACCACTCCTTGCTCTCGAGGAACTCCCTGTCGGAAAAGATGGACACACTGGGAAACAAGTAATTACTCTGAAATGTGTTAAAGCTCAAAATCTTCTTTTAGACGTATGTTTAAGTAAGGTCTCAAAATGACACTTACAAGCTTCTCCCCCACCCAACCCCTTCCCTCCCTCCAACTCCCTAGAGTTGAGGCTCAGTTTGTTCCATTTTCTGTTTCTAGAATCGTCCAGAAATAGGAGAATCAAGGTTGCTTCGGTAATGAGAAATGATTTGATCTCCAGGGAAGAAAAGCAATACTTAATTTTTAACTAGAATGCTGTGACTCAGTTACTCTTGACTATCAAAAGCCCACTGAAATTCTTCATCTTAATCCATGCTGTGACCTCTTTTTCACTGCCTTTTGTGAAAAAAAAAATCTTATTATGTGATTTTGTATGAAGTGGGAGGAAACTGTTGGGGTTAAAGTGTTTAACTTCTAAGGTACATTAATAGACAAAAGGTATTGTTGGTCTTTATGCATGCACATACCCTGACTCAGGTGCACTTCTTTTTATGATTCTTGACACAATAAACACACACAACCACACTTCTGCTCACTGTATTGATGATATTACTGCTAAAAGGACAGATTCTTGCTCTCCCCCCTCACCAATCCTCGTACTTGGTTCTCTTTTTCTTTCAACAAGTTAATGGCTAAGTTCAGAATTTAAAAATGCAGTGCTTTGCCTCCATTCTAACTTTGGCTAAATATTTTATCTCCAAATAATTTTATTTGGTTCCCTTTCCCAGTTGTTTATTTAATTCTATTAGTGTTTCAAGATTCTGAGCATGAATTATCCACTAATAAAATCTAAGTGTATTTCATTATCCAGTGTGTGTATGATTCAGGTCCCTCTGGGCATGCAGTTGCAGCTGGACTCGATTTGAGTTTTAAGAAACGTCAATCTTTTAAATCCAGTTTAGAGCCTGAAAGGAGGCTGATGATTTCGCTGATTATTCAAATGAATTGATAGTCTTGAGATAGGAAATCTGACAACAATGGAGTCTTGAACATTTTAAATCCAAATGCAAAGTCGTGTGTGTGTGTGTGTGTGTGTGTGTGTGTTAATACTTAGTTACCTGCAAGAGACAGGAGTTTCTAGAAACTAATTATACTGTTGGATCACCTTTGACTGCTAATTGGTGGATTGGTAAAAAGAGTGAAATATCCACTATATGACAAACTGGAAAAGGGTCATCCCTAAAATCTTAAGAGCAAAATACTCTGCCATGAAGTGCCTATAGTGGCTAGAGAAAACCACTTCCTATAAGAGAAGTAAGCTTAAGGAGGATATAGTGACCCTATACTGTTAAAACCATCATCTCTGGAAAAAATATAATCTATTGAAATGCAGACAAAAATGTTGTAGATAGAATATTCCTATACAAGTAGTTCCTTGAAAGCAGTTTGGTTATTTCTGCATGGAATATTCAAATAGCGACTTCAGAGAAAAAGAAGAATTTAAAGTGGGTCATCTGGAAGAAAGAAATTCATTGAAATAAAAAGTGTACCAAATAAATCAGAAGAAAACGGATCCAATGTCACTTTTGTTTTCTCTCTCTGACTATCCAATACTTAGCCTAGTTCTCAGCAAGCACCAGGGCCCAGTAAATATTTATTGAATTGAACTCAGTTGAAATGAAATAAATGCAATTGAACCAACTTAGTATTGGCAAATATGTTCTTGGGTAACATCCTTCTGACATCACGGTGAAATAGACAATGATTTTTATTAAATTTTATGTGAGAAGAAAAGATATGACCTCAAAATGGACAACAAACTAGGCATTTTAGACAGAATACTGCGGGTCAATTGGAGGCTTCCAGATATCCCGCTTATTTTCAAAAAATGCAGATAATTTCGATGCTTTTCTGCTCAAAGAGATAAGACTATCATGCAAATGTCCCCCTTCTGGAGGATGAGATCTGATCTCCGCGCTGCGGACTCTCTGCACCTCTGCAACGGCTAAGCGGGGCCCCGGGGCCAGAGGCGGGAGAACCAGGGAGCTCGCCCCACGTGACACCGAACCATTGGTCTCCTCCAAGCTCAGGCTTCCTTTTCCGATGTTTTACGAGGAACAGGTGGCAGCGATCTAACCTTTTGAGAGTCTGCGATTTGCATGACACTCGCGCGGCTATTCTGTCGGTGCCGCACCCTCCCAGCCCCGACTCGGCGGCAGGTGTTGGGGTGCGCAAGTCGGTGGGCGCCCGGGCCGCGCGCTACCGTTCCTTTCAGCGTGAGCGGCCACGTGCTTGCCAGCGATCCGGCCATTTAGCCACGCACAATGCAAAACTATAAACAACATGAGTGTGGAGAGGCGTCTTTGCCTCTGGGGCTTTCTTTGCCTAGTCTCTGACCTCAGATCCCACTTCAGCCGAAGTGCCGCCTTTCCGAGCCCAGTTCCCGCGCCGCGCGGGACGCGCAACTGTGCCACCGACCCGGGAACCGCGTGCAGCCGCAAACCTGTCGCGCCAAGCTGGGGGACGAGCAAAGCGGGCTCATTACCTGGTCCAGGCAGCGCCGTTCCATGTGTCCTGCGCCCTCGGAGAGAAGGCGCGTGTCCCAGGTTGGGCCACGTCCCACGGCGCCCTGCTGCGGCCACTCCCAAGGCGCTCCCAGTGCTGGGAAGATGCTCCTTCCCGGAAGGCAACCGCTTCAGCTGCGAGGTGTGCCTCCTGCCTTTTGTCCCTCTCTGCGCGGGCTCTGGAACTGCATTCCAGCCGGGGTGCGCCTCAGCCCGCTTCAGGACTACAGTCACTAGGGAGTGCGGCGCCAAGGTCACGACCTTTGACCCATGACCTCGGCCCCACCCTCCACGTGGGGCGAGCCACACCTCTTCTGACGCATGCCTGCAAGCCCTCCACCGATCAGCGGGGAAACCTTCCGCGCGTTACCCCGCCAGGCAACCAATCCCACCAAAGTTAGCAACGATGCTTAAAATGTTTTATTTTTTTCTCCTTAAAAATATTTACAGATCTGAAATCTCCCCCTTTCGTCCCTACCCATCCTTGGGACGAGAGAAACGAAAACAGGCGTTAATTGCCTAAAGCCCCCGAGGGCTAGCGTGGCCGGCCGTGTGTGCATGTACATATGTACAGGTGTATGTATGGGGAGAGGAGTGTACTCAGTTTTGTTGGTATTTTTCTGGGTTTTTTCCTACCAGTTAATGCCGATCTGGCCGAAACTCCCTTTCCCACCACCACCCGAGAACATCCCCTCCAAAATGGTTTTCAAAGCGCATTGGTTTGCTTTGGGTAGAAAGCAGGCGATCTGGCTTGAGGAATGCCGTTAAATACCCGAAACAATCAAACAAAAAGTAGGGCAGAGGCCATAAATAAGAGATAATGAATACACATGGTGTATTTCTTAATAGTTCTGGAAACACGCCGCCTTGCTCCAGAGTCCTGCGAAGGGGGCAGCCCGCGCCGGGCTTGAGGGCAGCTGGAGACAGGCCAGGGCGGCCGGGGGAGCAGGCGGGCGGCGCGGGGCCGGCGGGCCGGTCAGTAGTCGAGCTTGTTGTAGAGGTTGTAGAGAGGTAAGGCCGAGAGGTTGCTGCCCGGGTAGTAGAGCGGCGCGGGGAAGGCGAGAGAGCGCGGCACCGGCACACGCAGCAGCGAGCTGTCCCGGAACACCAGCGGCATTCCCACCAGAGTCTGCGCCGACGCGTGCGCCATGTTAGCCGCCTCCAGCTCGGCTGAGAGCTGCCGCTTCCACTTGTTGCGGCGGTTCTGGAACCAAGTCTTGACCTGGGTCTCTGTGAGCTGCAGGCTGGTGGCGAGGCAGGCGCGCTCCGAGCTGCTCAGGTAGCGCTTCATGTCGAAGGTGGACTCGAGCTGGTACACCTGGCTGCGCGAGAAGACCGTGCGCGTCTTCTTCTTGGCGGCGCCCGCCTGCCGCTCGGCTCCGCCGTCCCGCGGCCGTTCGGGCCCCGGCGACGGCGAGCCCGCGGGCAAGAGCCTCTCTTTCTCTTCCTTAAAGTCCGGGTGCGAAGGAGAGAGGAAAGGCGTGCGCTCCGAGCTCGCCGGCCCCGCGCCTCCGCTGCCCTTGGGGGTACCTGGGGAAGGAGAACAGACAGGAAGGCCATAGAGTTGGGAGCCTCAGAGACTCCCAGCTCTGGCCGGGACCAGGGGCTTGGTAGGCGCCTGCAGCCTTAGTCCCATCTTCCTCGGTCCCAACCCCTTCCTCTTCTCCCTTCGCTGGCACCCAAAGCCCAGCAGCCCGGCCTTTAAAAAGCAACAGAAGAGAGGGACCCAGCTACTTGAGTCTGGGGTCTTGTGCTCCCAGCTTCGTGAAAGGACTTGTGGCAACAGGGGGAGGAGGTCTGGAGGGAGAACATTAGCATCATTTAGAAAGGTGATTTTGCCTTGTGATAACTGAGCTGGAAGAGTTCCCTGAGCTTTATAGGGTGGCATCATTTCACAGGCCGTTTGTTCGGAAATCACGCTAAGGCTAACGCGGGGCTCCCCTTCGTCAGATGTTGTAAAGAGGAACCATCTCTGAAAGGCACCATTGTCAATCATCTTGGAGTGCTAATCATTCCGAGGAGGAGGAGAGAGACAGAGAGGAGAGAAAAGACGCTGAAAGAAATTGCGGTAGAGACAGACGGACCGCTCAGACCCGACTTCCAGACCTGATGTTCGGCAAGTAGCCGATGTGCAAAGGGGATATTGAGGGCAGAGCCGTGTGTGCGGTCGGCCCTGTGCCCAGCCCGCTGTGGTACACTTTCCCTCCAACCCAACCTTCCCCAAGACCGCGCCGCGCGAGGTCTGTGTTCCCGGTCTCCTCTCGAGCTCCCGCAGGGCCGAGCAGGGAGCATCGCGCGCGCGTCCCCTCCCCTCGGCCCCGGACCCCGGACGACCGCGGCTCTGGCCAGAGGGGGCCCAGCGCGAGAGCCCCGACACAGCTTCCCTCCCCTAGAGCTTGCTCGTGGCCGACGGGGCGGCGTGCGATCCTTACCCAGGCAAGGAAAGGGGATGGGGGGGTGGTGCTTGGGGCCCGGCTCCTTGGGGCCGCGCGGGTCTGGGCAGAAGCAGGCGGGTGCCTTCCAGCCGTCGTCCGGCTCCTCCTCCTCCGAGGACACGGACAGGCTGCGCTTCCTGGAGGGCCAGCCGGCGGGCTCCCGTGGCGCCTCCGAGGGGCCCCCGCCCAGGATGGACTGAATGGTGAAGCTGGAGACGCCGCCGGCCGCCGGACACCCCTTGCCCGCATCTTCCTTGCTGCCCATCCTGGGTTCATAAGAAATCGGAGGAAACCAAGAACTCCCTTTAGAGACGATCTGAGTGGAAGATGGTGCAGGCAGGCAGGCGCGGGGGAGGGGCGGGGAGGGGAGCCACGGGGAGGGGGCGACGAAGCTGGTGAGGCGTCCCCTCCGCTCTGGGGACACGCGGGCACGGGACGGCTGCGCGGGAGTCCCTGCCCGCCCGGCTCTGGGTGCACCCGCCCAGCCCCGGCGCGAATGCCCCTTCCTTGCCCGCCAGCTCGCCGGGTCTCCGGCTGCGCGGAGGTGGCGCGGCCTCATTTGCATAGAGGTTACCCGGACGCGGCCAATCGCAGCGCCGCCGAGCGGCCCCGGAAATTTTCAAAAAGCCTAGGCCGGGCACGCAGCGTCTGTGAGCCCCGGGGCGCGCCGAGAGCCCTGTGGGCGTCTGATGTGTCCAACCAGGGACAGCCAGGGCCGAAAGCAGCACAGATTCCAGCCCGCGTTCCAGGCCTCTGCGGCGGCTCTGACCGCTCGGACCCCGGCCCTCTCGAGGGGCAGGGACTGCGTGCGGCTCGCAGCTGGAGTAGTCCGACGCCTCCCTCAGGCGACAGGTCCTCGCATCCTCAGAGGGGCTCACACAGGCTGCTCCACGACCCTCCCCCAGCCTCCCACCCCTTCTCGTCCGGGCGAGCAAGCAGGGCAAGCACCCCCCAGACCAATGCGCCCCGTGAGGGAGGAGGATTTAGGAGCGTGCGCCTCTGAACTATTCCTGGTGCTATTCCTGGCAGCTTACCTGGGAGGCCCAGGAGCAGACAATTTCTGGCTTCCTCGCCCACAGACCCCACCCCTGTCACAGGCTCAACGGGGCTGCATGATGTTGAGTGGTAAGGAGGGAGCCCTAGATCTTGTTTCAAGAGATCCTGGTTCAAGTCCCAGCACCACCATTCACACGCTGCACGAACAAGGACAACTCCAGTTCCAAGAGAGCCTCACTGCCCTCATGGGTGAAATGAACTTCTCGTTAACATCCCCCCCCTTCTCCTGTTTTGAGGAGCGCCTTAGGCAGGAACGGAAAAGCCCCCAAAAGCCTAGAAGCTCTAGGAGCTCATAGTAGGTACTCTGTAAACCTTTGCTGAATAGGCCGTGGTCCGCCCTGCTGTTCCGTAAGTGATTCTCAGTTTTTGGCAAATATTGGGTGGTCACCATTGCTGCAGAAGTGGAAGCCCTTTGCTCTCGGGAACGGGAGAGGGAGGTGAGGATGAGGACAAGGTTTTAGGATCGGGAAAAGTCGATTCAGATCTCGGCTAGGTGAGCTTGGACTTTCTGAGCCTCGGTTTCCTCATTCCTAAAATTAGGGGAAGCAGTGCCTCCCCGCAGAAGCCCCGTGGGGTCAAAGTACCCAACTCCGACCTGGGCACACGGAAGGCACTCAATAAATCGCGGTTCCTCCCTCGTCCTCGCGGACCCTTCTGAGTCCTGGCTTTCGCCCCTTTAATTCCCAGATCAGCTGTTACTGGACCTAGAATCAGCCCGGAGCGGGCAAAACGGTTCGGGGACACAGTTGTCTACACAAGCTTCGAGGAAATGAAGGTGAGGCAAGGCCCCCAGGTGCTCAGGCAACTCCACCCCCGGGTCTGCAGCCTCGGGACCGCTGGGTGAAGAGATCCCGGAAGCCCTGCCCCTAGGGTGCCCCCCAAATGCAGCCAAGGGTGAGAGGAGACTCTGGAATCAGTCCCCACGGATATCCAGACGCTGCACCATGACTATGCAGTTCCCTCCTCGCCCGCGCCGCGCCCGCGTTATTGAGTAAAGCGCTTATAATATCATTAGCCGCGGTGAGTTACCGACTGCAGCTCTACCCTTGGCAGAACCTCTCCCTACTTAACTCTTCGAAGGGATCGTTAATGGGCTAATTGATTAGGAGTCGGCGGCGCAGCCGGGGCAGGGGCAGGGGCAGGCGAGGGGCGGGGGCCAGGGCCTGTGCGCCACGGCCCGGGAGGCCGGCGAGGGGCAGGTGCCGGCCTCCATCACCGCATTAACCTCTTCAGGGCTCGGCGGCGGGGTCGAGACACATTACAAATGGTCAGCTTTAATCATGGTGTCAGCTCATTAACCCGGAAGGACCCAGACCTGAAATACAATTTGTGCGTCCTCCTCTGCGCGGCCTCGGCACTGAGCAGCCCGTCCCGCGCGCTCCCGCACGGTTGGGGGGTAGAAGGAAGGTTCCTGGAAACAAAACACCCGACTCTCTCACTGGCCTGAGGCCTCTCCGCCTACCGCAAGCACCCTGACTGGGCGCTGTCTCCCGGACCGGGCCGAGGCGGCCCCGCGGGAAATTAGCCAACCCGGCGAGCAGAGCCCGCCACTGGCTGGGGAAGCAAGAGGAGTTGGGGGGTGGGGGGGTTGGTTGAATCCTTCTGAGCTAGTAAATACTTGGTACCCGCAACCAGGAACACGCTGGGAGTATCGCATCATGATTCAGTTTAATCCTCACAGCAAACCTGTGGTGTAGATCTTTACCTCCAGTGTACAAGCGGGCAAACCGAGGCTCAGGAAAAAAAGCGACCAGCCCAAGCAGAATAAGCAATATTGAAGCTCCAGGCCTTTTCACTGCCAATACCGGGCCCCTGGGAGGAGGCGAGGGGTGGAGCAGGCATGGATATCGAGCCTGGGGAATGGCTGCAGGGAAGACTGTGAGGACCCCCTCCCCCCCCACCGCGTCGCGGCACCGCCGAGGCGCACGTGTGGGTGGGGTCAAGGACCCCACGGGGTTAGTCTCTGCCAGGGCAGGGACCGTGGAGGTGGCGTCAGGGCCTCTGGGGTAGGCGTCGGAGAAGCAGCTCCCAGGCCCCAGAGCGCCGAGGGACTGGGGGACTGACCCGTGTAGCCTGGCTTGAGGACTCTCAACTAGGAAACCATGCAGCCTCGAGACCCCATAACTCCCCTCCGCCCCACTCCCAGGGCAGTTTTGGGAAGTCTAAAGGAGCCATCTGCCTCGTACTCCGCCTGCTCGCCATTCCCACTCGCATTGACCTTCTGATCTACGCAGAGGTGCGCTACAAACAGCCTCCTCCACCACCACACCCTGCACATCTTCAGACGCGCACGCTTTAAGCCGTGTGCACACTTGCATAAACGCTTACGCACTCACACACATTCAGTCAGCAAATGTCCACTGAGCTCCGACTAGTGTGCGCGTCACACACACACACTGTACACTCAACCAGGGAAGTGATGGTGGTGGGCGCAGGGCAAAGGCGGGGAGGCGGTCGGGGAGACAGGGAGATTCCTGGCTTTGCAGCTGGACAAACTCTCCCCCGGGCTCTCCTCAGCTCTCCTCAACTGGTCACCGGCGGGGTCTCCCGCCCCTGGTGCACCGACAGCAGTCACACTCCTGGGGCCAGAGGGCCAAGACACGATCTTTCCGCCATCCCTTTGGGGCATCCGGGGGTCCCCGGCACTTCACCGAGAGCTCAAAGGCCTAGGCGCCCTCTTCTGGGCCCAGTGCAGCTGGAGAACACTCCCAGGCACCCTCGGCTCCAGGAACCACCACCCACAGACACCCGGTATCTCTCCCCTGAACTGCGGCAATCCTTCAACGCAGTACCACCTCCCGCCCCACCCTCCTAGTCTGGGGATGGCTCCGCCCCTCCGCACTCCATTCAGAATAACAGCCGCTACCCTGGAGAATGGCTCCACCTCATTTTGGCAATCGCCTTTCCCCACTAGGAATTAGTCATAACCTGGTTCCAAAGAGTGATAAACTTTCCGAGACTGAAGGGACGCTTAAAGTTTAGGTCTCGAGATTATGCCACTGCTCAATATTAAAGCGGCCCAGAGCAAACTTGCCGAGGAGCCTAATAAAAATTGATCCTCTCTGCTCTGCGGCAGTTGGGAAATAGGCTGGCTGAGCCGGGTAATAGTGGAAGAAGGCTCCCTCCGAAATGACAGATGAAGTCATAAACAAGTTTGATCTTGGAATCAAGCTTCGATAAATATTAAACACAGTCTGCTCCCCCCCCTTTACGCGAGTGGATTATGATATATGGCTCGTCTAAACTTTAAAATAAGGAAATACCAGAGAAAATGATCTCAATAAATTTTCTAAGTATAAACGTTGATTATGTTTCGATTTTCATTCAAGGGCCTCTGCTGTTCGTTCTTTGGTGCAAATGACATTTCACAATAGGCTTTTGGGGAAAGGGGCTCCCTACTTGAAAAAGAGAACCCCAGAGGTGTACAATTTATGTAATCTGCGGCTGGAAAATGAATTGTGTAATTTATTGGAAAACAGAAAGTCATGAAGATTGGATCAGCATAGCCGAGTCCCGACAACCCCCTCCCCCCCCCCACATCCATCAAGTTCCAATTAACAGCCTAACCAGAGAGCTTTAATGGGTTTCCAATCTAGTGGCCTGATAGACTCATCAATTCCTCTGGGAGAAATTAAGAAAATCGACCGCCCCTTGGCGACGCAGTGTCATTCCTTTCTGCAACTATATGTCAAATTAAAAACACAATTAAAATTTAAACTGTTTCAATCAAAGGGTGCCCTGCAACCTATGTTTCACTTAATAGAACTTTGATGAAAATCTGATGCATGCACTCCATCACCAAGGGGGGCGAGGGCAGTGAAAGAGCTCATGAGAGAAGGGGATTCTTTCTATTTCTTTAAGACAGCGCTTGGGTGAGGCACACCAGGTGACTCCACCTTGCTGCTCCTAAGTGATGGGCACAATGCGCTCTCGGTGCGCGCTCCCTCGCTCACTCTCTCCTCCAGCTCTTTTTCCTCTCTCTCCACTGCAACCACAAGGGATCCTTTTGGAACCCCAGCGACCCAGATTTGGGGCAGTTTCGCCCCAGAGACGCACCACCTGGAGCAGCAGCCAAGGAAGGGACCTGGGCGAATACAACCAGTGTTCACCGTCTGGGAACTCTCCAGGGAGGCACGCAGCCTCCAGCTATCCCTTGTTTACGTCCGGTGACTGCCTCGACACTCGAATGAAGTTCTAAGAGATCCTGGAAGCAGAAGAGTGGGAAGAAATCCCAGGCTGATAAATGGACCCCAGTGAGGCCTAGGGCTGTGCTGCAGTCTGAGACCCAATTCCCCAGAAGCTGCCGCTCTGGGGATGAGCCTTCAGGGTACTTCCTCAGGAGAGGTATGCCCGGGTCAAGTGCAGCCCAAACCTCAACTCAAGGTCCCAGTCCGAGGCACCAGGCAGGACTCCAAAGTACAGCCAGCCTAGTTAATTTCGTGGCCCTTTCTTGTCTTTTGCCACCCATCCAACCCCTCAACTGTTTGTAGGTCAAAGGGTCAACATCCACCCGGCACATCCAGACGGGCGCACGTGCACACAACAGGCGTGCACACATCCAGATGCGTAAGCCCAGACGCCTGGATGGCTCGCACCCAGAAGCCAGGGAGGCCCTGCAGGCAGGGCGGAGGGACGGGCTGAGAGTGGGGGAAGCTGGGAGGAGGAGCGTCGAGGAATGCCTCTGCGGCGCTACTTGTACATGCTGGGGCCGGCGGTGTCCCCTGGGCCTGCCCGGCTGCGCTTTGGACCCTAAAGCGGGGATTTCTATGGGGCTAGTGGTTCTTGCACCTTGACCCTGTCGCGGTGACCCAATAGGGAGGATTTTTCCTAGCCGCTTTGCAGAGTCCAAGTTTGTATCGCTAAGGGGAAGATACCCCCCAGATGGGCCACCGGGCCGCCGGGCGTGGACAACAGCGAGAGGTGGGGTAAAAGGGAGTCTGGGAGGCGGGCAAGGCCGCGCGCAGCAAAGTCTGCGCCCCGCAGGGCCCCTCGAAGGAAGTTCAGGTGCCCCGCGCGCGCAGAGGGACGGAAGCAGGAGCTCCTGGCCCGGGCCCAATAACACGAAGCCTAGCCAAAGCTCCAGAAGAGGCTGCACAGCTGCTGGGACCCCCATCCCCAGCGCCCAGACCCTAGCTGGCCCAGCGTGCGCCCGCTGAAGAGAAAGCAAATCCCACTGACCTTCTTGCCTCCTCCTCTTTCTCCCGGCTGTACCCTCGAGCGCGCGCTCTGGGAGCGAGGAGAGGAGAGCGCTCTGGGATTCTCGCAGCGTGGCCTCTGCCTCTGGATGCCGGGAGCCTGCCAAGGGGACGTCCCGGCTCAGAATGAGCCCCCAGTGGCGGGGGGGGGCAGTTTATATCTGTCTTGCTGTTGTTTGATGTACACACACCCGCTCTATTTACTACCAAATAAAAGAAATACATCTGTGTTGCCAGCAGAAACAGCTCGCGCGCTGGCTCTGCCGTCTCCCAGGGCCCGGAGGCGATTGCTGGCGCTGAGAGGCCAGCACTGTGGGGTCCCCGGCTCCGAGTGAGGTCCGGGCCCATAGGAGAATGGGGGTCCGCAGTGGGGTGTTGGCGGGCTCTGCTGGTTTGTCTCAGGTGGCTTAAGAAGAGGGAGCATCCCTGCCCGAAGGATTTCAGGCTTCCTGCAGCAGAGGTAGGAGCGCCACCTCACTCCCTGCCCAATCCTTTCTACAGGAGTCTTCTCAGCTTGCCTTAGCCTAGGGCCGTCAGAGGAAACAAGCTACCCAGGGTCACCTCGAGCAAGGTGTGCCTAACTGTGTCTGAGCGTTAGTGATCGCTGTGATGCTGAACACATATGTGGGTGGGCATACTGGGAGCCCCTGGATACTGGGTCTGTTTGGAAGTCTAACTAAAGTGTGTGTGCGCGCGCGCGCGCGTGTGCGCGCGCCTGTTTGGGTGATGCAGAAAGGATTTAGCAGGAAAGATGATGTCGTTTGCACTGACTTGAAGATTAATTGAGGGTCAGGTAGGAAAGGCTCTGAAGTTAGGGTGGGTGGAGAGAAGGCTGGGTTCTAGGCTCTGAAGGGAGGGGAGGAGAAAGGATAAAATCGGGGTGTTGGTTCAGTGTCCTAGGGTAGGGGACACAGGCTGCCCTGGCTTCCCACGATGGAATGTCCTGGAGGAATTGTGCAGAGGCACCCTCACTCCCCCAGATAGCCCCCTCTGGTGAGTGGTCTCAGCATCCCCCCCCCAATCCCTGCAGAGGCAGCCAGGAGGGGGGTGGTCTGTGTGGGGGAAGAAGATGACCCTAGCCAACTCTCAGAATGTGACAGTCCCATCAAGCACTTTCTTGGCCTCTCCTGACACAAAGGCCTCAGAAAGACCTGCAGTCCAGCCTAGGATGCTTCGTGGGGGGAGAGATGCTTTGAGTTCCAGCTCTCTGGCTCAACTCTTTCTCTTGCATTGTGAGAAATACCACGACCCCGACCCGACAGGAGGGAAGCAGACGTTTCCCGCCTGGGCCGGCTTCTAGGCTCACACAGCAGCCAGTTCCAGGCGGCATTGTCGTGCAGCCCTCCTCCCCGGGGGCTCACACAGTGGCTCCTGGCAGGGACCCGCTGACCCAGAGCAGCCGACCCAGAGCAGCGGGGCTCCCCAACAGGAGGGAAGGAGAGGCCACCAGGAGTAGCACAAAGGATAAACTGTGCATGTGGAGAACCAGTTGTTTCTCGACTTTGTAAAGACCCAGTCAGTCAAGAACCGTTTTCTAGAATCCAACACAAATAAAGAAGTATATTCTTGGCATTTGATAACATCGTGTTCTGGCTGTAAAATCTAAGGATGTGTTTGCTATTGCAACATTATTTTTAATGAGCTGTTATTGGCCTGTCCCGCAGTTAGTATTGCCAACAGTAAAAGGCATCACTGTGTTTGCAGGTAACACAAGGAACAACATATTTTGACCCCGAATTTCTGTTTATTTTTCATTTACGACACATGCCCTCGTTTTTATTCCAAACCAGAGGGAAATAAAGGGAGATCTATCTTCACTGAGGTCCAGGCTAAAATTTTCCCATAAATACGCATGCTAGTTTATTTGGGGGCAGTTTCTCATCAATAGAAAACGAGAGTCGACGTTTCAGCCGTAGTGGAATCAATTGTGTCGATCGGGTTTGAAGAACCCAGCACAGCCCTGGGAGAGGGAGGGGAGCGTGTGCAGGCGCTCCCCAGCGGACGCGCCCTGCGGCGTGCTCTTCGGCCGCGTCACTGTCTCTGGGTTCCTCGTCGGCCCCTCCCGGCTCCCCAGCTTCAGACGTGCCCCGCCAGGAGTTGCGCGTGCAGACCCCGTGCCCTAAGGCAGGCCGCCGCGCGGGGTTGACGAGGGGTGCCGAGCACCTGCTTCCGCCCGGACCGGCGCTTCCAAGCCGCTCCACGCGCGCCGCGTCTCCGCAGGCCGCCCACCAAGAGCGCGGTGGCTCGGCGCCCAGCAGGCGCGTGGAAACAGCTAGCTTTGCGCTTCCAGGCGTCGGCCGGGACAGGGGCGGGGGACCCAGAGAGGCCCCCCTTGAGGTGTTGGGTGCCAGTGGACAGAAAAGGACCTGGCCGAGAGGAGAGAAAGTCCTCTCAGTTGCTGTTGCTGTAGTCGGGTGGTCTCTGTTCCCTGGCACTCGACCCACCAGGACAGCGCCCACACCCGAGACGCCTCTGGAGCCACAGTTCCTCCAGGCCTGCGGAGGCCTCCCAGTCCCGGAGCTGGGAGCCGCCCTCCCTAGGGCTGGCTGGCCTCCCTGGGGCTGCCCTCTCGCGGCCTGGCCTCTCCTAGATGGACTTCGCGATCCGCCTCTGGCCGCAGCTAAACTCTAAGTTCACGCCCTTCTTCCCTCCCCCTACCCCGGAGGCATCCAGGCCCGCCGACGTCCTGCCCAGAAGCTCGCGGCGCCGTAGGACCCCGGGCCTGGGAACGAAGTGCGAGGCGACAGCCCTGGGTTCGGAAATACCAGCTGTCTCTGAGCTCGCGGCTGCCGTTTCGCTCAGTTTCAAAAACTAGGTAAGCCTAGGTCCTCGCCCCTTCTGCCCCGCATTCTTCCCTGCTCGCAGGGCGTTTTGAGCCGCGTTAAGATTCTGGGGAGAGAGCGGCCCTGGTCGCGAACAAAGCCGCCTCTGTCTCCTCCGCCTCCTGGATTATAGGGCTGTGCATCCAGGCCGGACTCCGGGAGTGCAGAGACAGCCAGAGAGCGAGGCAGAAAAGAGTTTCGGAGACACTTGCTCTGGGGAAAATCGTCCAAAGTTACGCACTCCGGCAACACGAAACGCTTCACTTTTCTTTTCTTTTTAATTAATTCAATTTCACGACAACATTGTATAACAATATTTTGTGGGGTTTTTTTTCTCTTTTTCTTAAAAAGGGACTGAACCCGGGCAGAGGTGAGGGAGACTGGGGGTGGGGACGACAAACTATCACAGAACAACAGGTGTAGCCACAGAAAGAGAACAGAAGATTGGGCGGCAGAGCAAGGAGCCCTGCGGAGTTGAAGGTGAACTTTACAAGAAATCTGTACATTTATCAAATAAGTTAAAATTCTCCTAAATTGATTGTCCTTCACTTAAAGCGCTCCAGTATGTCTATCTTACTCCTCTAAACATTGCTATCTATCCTTGTTTCCTTCCTTCCTTCCCCCCTTCTTAATTTCCTCCTTCTAAAGGAATGACCGGGATTACACAGTGAAAACGTCTGCTTCTCTCAGTGGACGGAGAAGCAGGGCTCTCAATTTTGTACAATATTGCACAGGTCAAAAGTACAACAGTCACTACAGAACAAAAAGGTAGGAGGAGAGGATAAAAGATACAGGTTGTTTTTTTAATATTGAAATCACTCTCTCAAAACAGGGAACAAAATAACAGTAATAGTAATAATAATTTACCAACCAATGGAAATCCCAAAATAAAGGCTACTAATAAATAAGACCTCTCACACCTGGCGAGATGTGGAGCTGTTTCAATAATCACAGATTTTTGGCTGTCTTGTCTTTTCCCTTTAAACACTTAATTAGAGAATTCTTCCCTCACAAAGAGGCAGATGAAGAGGTCAATTTCGACAGACCTCTGCCGGAGAGAAAAGCGGTCTGGGTGGGGATTCTTATGATAGGCTGATCAGACTCTGAAAACTGGGGAGGATAACTAACTGACTGGGGGTAGAGAGGAAGAACCACACCCAGAAATAAAAGTACTACAGTGTGACTTCTCTCTCTCTCTCTCTGAACTTCTGAAAATAGTTCTATAGAAAATGAATAAATCAGAGGGGTTCCGGCTTTTGCGCTTATTTTCGTTTTACAAAAATAAAACGCAAAAAGCCACAGCGCAATGCAAATTTGGGGGGAGAGTTGCACATTTTACAAAAGCTTTCAGCCTAAATATTTGACCCGGGAATTTTGTCTTTTTTCTGCTCTCTCTTAATATAAACCAAAACCAAAAGTAAGACGGGAAGCGCCTCGAATCCATTAGGGGTGAATTGCACGAAAATGCATTGCAAATACTTACAAAACGCTACCAACTGGGGGAGGGGAGGCCGGGACCCTGCGCCGAAGCCCCGGTTCCCGAAGGCCGCTGGACGTCTCGGCGCCCTCGGCCCGGACCAGTCTCCTCCGGGGTTTGGGAAGGGGGCCGGGCGCTCCCTTCCCCTCCCCTCTCGGGCCTCAGACGGGCCGTAGCAGCGGCACGGACGAGACCACCGGGTGCGAGTAGTAGACGGGGTGCGGGAAAGTGAGCAGCGGCTGGCTGACGGGCACCGGGGCCCCCGCGGCTGCGGCCGCTGCGCCCTCGGCCGCCGAGTTCTCGTGGTAGAGGATGGGCACCCGCACGATGCGCTGCGCCGCGGCGTGGCTCAGGTTGGCCGCCTCCAGCTCCGCCGCCAGCTGCCGCTTCCACTTGTTGCGGCGGTTCTGAAACCAGATCTTGACCTGCGTCTCGGTGAGGTGCAGCGACGCGGCCAGGCCGGCGCGCTCCGAGCTGCTCAGGTAGCGCTTCATGTCGAAGGTGGACTCGAGCTGGAAGACCTGGCTTCGAGAGAAAACCGTGCGCGTCTTCTTCTTGCGGCACGCGGGCTTCTTCTCGGGGCTGTCGGCGCCCTTCTTCCAGTCCTCGGCGCCCGGCGTCGCCGCTGCCGCCCCTATGTTCGCCCCGGCCGCGCCCGGCGCCGCCTCGCCCTCCTTCTTGCCTTCCTCCGAGTCGCTCTCCTCCAGAATGATCTCGTCCGGGCTCTTGGAGTCCAGCTCCTTGTGATCTGGGTCGACCTTGAGCAGTGGTTCGGGGGAGTCGCGGTCGGTGCCCGAGGCGGGGGAGGAGTCTCG